TTGTTTTCACTTATTCTAGAGAAGCTTCCCCTGTCAATCTCTCAGCTCTGCTTCCAGATATCCATGCTTCCACTGGTATTCATCCACAAACAAGTACAGTCAATGATACATCTCTACCAAAGGATCCTGCCCATGGCAAAGCACCAAAGTTGAAGCATCAAAAGCTATGCAGAGGCTGTCCAATTGCTTTCAAAGCTCAATGTGCTCTTTCAGAGTAAGATTGGTGCTGAGTTTACTGAGGCTAGAGCACTTTTTCCAAAGCTTACAAGAAACCTATGCAAGAAAATAAATAGTTCTCTTGAACAGACTGATATTTGGTCGTTTTTTAAGTAGACAATGTATTATTGAGTTATGTACTACAAATAAGGAAATTTTATTACTTTACTTAAGCTACTGTCAACAAGCATAACCTCTTATTAAGCATGGCCTCACCTGTCCACAGTGGGTCATGCTTAATGACAGGTTTCACTGTATAATACTTTAGGTTATCATACAAAGTTAGTATAATACATGTAATAGATTTATTCATCCTTAGTACTTATGTAGTCTTTATATACATTAATATGTCTTATTTAAACATTACAGTTCATTTACAAACCTTACAATTACTTTACAATGTATATACAATACACATGTTACTTTACAAAGTCTATAAGAAATTACAAGAAATGTGACATTTTCCTGATGTTATGTTGTCAATTTTCGAACTTGCCAAACAAGTTCTGTTTTGTTGAGTATCATCACAAAAAAGTCTTAAGTATTGTATTCACTTGTAATCCTATACATTTTGTACCTTTTATAAATTTTGTCAATGTTAATATAATCTTCATAGGGGGTTAAGTAAGGAAAGTACAATGTTAAATAAGTAAACAAGAATACTTGTAAAACTTGACAATTACAATTATAATAATATAAATTGTCAAGTTATACAAGTGATTATAACATACTTCCTAAGATTACAAGGCTAAAACATACTTATTAATTTGTGAAAGTATAATATCTGCTTATAATGTCTACAAGTCATTACAAGTGTTTGAATAGCTTGCTTTTGCTTAGTATACAATTTTGTATCAAATAGTTAATCAAATATAATTATATTTAAATTATAGAATACAAAAATAGTAAATAATACACTATTTCTACAGTTCTAACCCCTACACTACTAGCTGCCTCTGTCTCATTCTTCTGTGAGTGGGATTTGTGTTGGAAAAGGATGAATGCATTCTCAGGCTGTTCAACATAGTCTTTGTCACCATGTTTTGGTTGTTGCTCAGTCCCTACAAGTTGAATTGTGAGTGTGTGTGAATTGAGGTCAAGCAGGTTGTAGTGATTAAGGCTGTGCCTGTGAGACAAGTTTAGAGTGATTAGCAAGTGAAAATAAGAGGGTGTTTGGATACATAATCTTGCATGATCAAACAAGATCATTCCTTCTGAAAGGAGAAGGAGATGATCTTGTGTGATCATGATCTACATTTGAGATGGAGGTGAGTGTTTGGCCACCTCTATCTACATTCTTGATCTTGTTCTGTGATCACAATGTGCCTGCCAAAAACAAGATACAGCTCTGAGCTGTATCTCATTTTGAGATCATACACTCTAAAGATGAGACCACATATACCACATTAACAGTACCTCTTGTCTCACCCTCACTTGTCCACCCCAGTCATCCTCTACACATCTCTGAAGACATCTATTTGCTCTCTACACAACACACTAGTGATCAGCAAGTGTTCTCATACTAGAAGACACTGCTTCCTGGACAGCTGATTAAGAGGCCCTTCTGATTCAGATGCTGAAGAAGGCAAAGGACAATGGCCTCCAGGCTGAGAGTGGTTGGAAGCCTGTTGTCTGGTCTTTAGCTGTTGAGGCCCTTGCTGGTACAGAGAGTGAGAGTGGCAGGGTTAGGAAGGAGGTGAAGCATGTTAGGTCTTGGTTTCACAGAGTATGTCTTTACAAGTTGAGCTTATTGACATATGATTTCTCATACGATCTCTACAGCTCAAAAGTGCATACTAGGAGGTGAAGAAGATTAGGGAGTCATCTGGCTTTGGTTAGGACCCAGTCCAGCATTTGGCAACTGCTCCAGCAAATGTATGGGAGATGTATTTTGTGGTACACTAACTTCTCAGTCTTATCTTCTTCCTTCTTCACTAATATTTGTTCCTAGTCACACAAAAATGCTAAGCTATAGTACAAGAAGAGCTTTCCTCTTTATAAGGAAATGGTAGAGCTTGTAGAAGGGATTGTAGCTGATGGAAGGGGTGCATTCTGGCCTAGCCAGAATACACAGACTTCAGGCATGCCTAGTCTACAGGCTGCCAGCTCTAGTTCTCTTGCAAGCAACAAGACTTCTTCTGTCTCAGCTGTGCCAAAGAGTTTGGAAGATATCTCTGACTTTGAGTCAGACACTGGTGGAGACAACACTCAGTACACTAAGACTCTCCCTACAGTGAGTCCCTTTCACACTTAGCCTACACATTACAGACTATATTAACATGCTTTCTAGACTTCCAGTACTGCTTCTAAGTGTGTAGTATCCTTAGAGCCAGAGGTTACAGCTATAAAGAAGAGGCCTCGAACTTCAGGAGCCAACACAATAATAAGCCTCAGCAAGTCAATCGAAACAGTAGTGGACACAGTCACTTTTGCTTCTTCTACAAGGAATGCAACAGCCTAGACACCTACCAAAACAACTTCCTGGATTCTAGAGACATCTCTACAACATAGGACAGCTGCTATTCGAGCAATTGAGGTGGATGAGGAATTGTCTGACAATGATATGGTAGATGTAGCAGAAATGATACATGAGCACACTAGTATTGCTGATACTTATCTTGCTTTGCAAAATAAGGATCACTGTACTACTTATTTGCAGAAATCCCTTGCTAGGTACAAAGGCATGTAAATTAGTTTTATTTTGTAATATCTTGACTACTTTCCCTCTGAATTCAATATGTCAATCTGTTCATGAAGATGCAGATCACAGAAAACCTTCAATATGTTCCCTAGACCAGCAGCATTCATCAACAAGATTAACCAGGAAACGTGCTCTTTACTCCATAGTCCTCAGTTCCAGGAACACCAAACAAGAAAATCTGGTTACTCAGTACGTAAAGTGAGAACAAATTGCGTCCCAGGAAGGGATTCACAAACAGTGCCAGTCTATCTGTGTGTTTTCCTACAAACGGCTGTACAATTGCAACTGCATTCCTACACAGCCCAGAAAACCACCAGTGCTCTTTGTAATGTATTAGAGTAGAGCACTGGCAACCTCTTTGTGACTTGCAAAAACCACCCAAACTGTTGTTCAAAGCCTTGTCCAACTGTGTTTTCTTGCAATGTCCACATCTTAACAGGTGTAGGCTTGTCATTCAATACATAACACTCAATACAACAGTAGTATACATCAGTTCGAAGAGACTGTACATGAAACACTCAATAGATAACTGTTGCACCTCTCCAAGATGCCTCTTGCATTGCACCATCACAATCCTCTGGTCAACTATGTGAGCAAGAACACAATATAACACTGCCTTCTCCTTCTGCTGTGGCACATCCTCATTCACATTCGTTTCTACCCTTTCATTCCTGTCACTTGCAAATTGTTCTCACTGGCATGTTACGTTCCTTCACTCTTCTCCCCTCATTCAGCATTCTTGCTTATACCCTTTCCACATGTCCTCTACAATTCGATCAGATAGGTTCTCTGCTGCAGCTCATTGTGCAGCTCCTCCTGTAGCTTGTTGTATGCTAGTCTTGGACCCTATATCCTCATCACTTTCTTCCCACTCATACACCTCTGTAGGATCATAAATACGTATGATGTTGTGGACTACACATAAGGCTTGTACCAGAGCTGCTTGAGTTTCGATAGAGTACTCTGGTGTAGTAGCAAAAATTCAAAACTGTACTTTGAAAACACTAAATATTCTTTCCACAACATTCCTGGCTGTAGTATGATGCAGATTAAACAGTTCCTTTGTGTCTAAGGGTCTATAAATTTAAATTTAAATGTATTGAAGGTTTCATGAGTTAGATAAATACATACCTATTCTTTGCAGCAGCCCATTCTCTCAAATGATAACGTACTCCTCTGTATAGCACAAGTACTGATGTACTGACTAGAAAGCCAGTATTGCCAAGATAATACTTGCTATCTGGAACTAGGAAGCCTTGTTGCCTAGCACTGTCCAAGACTGTACTATCAGATGTACTTCCCTCCCATCCACTAAGAACATACAGAAACTTCATGTCAAATGATACAACAGCCAGAACATTCTGAGATATAAATCCCTTCCTGTTCCTGTATCTAGGCTGTTGATCAGAAAGGACAGAAGCATATATGTGGGTTCCATCAAGGGCTCCAAGACAGTCCTTAAAATAAGGGTACCATTTTGGGTTTGTTTGTATTTCCACAGGAGTAGGAGCTCCCTCTCTAGGAAGCTTGATAAATGTATAGTATATGCTGGGTGAATTCAACATATTAACAATCCTGTGGAAACACCTATAATAAAAAGTATGAATAAGTGTAAATAGACTGACTTAAATTACTTACTTGGAAACTGTATCTGCACTTCTTTGAAACCTTTCCTGAACCCTTCTGTTTGTGTTCCCAGTAGCAGCCATGTACAGAAAGATAG